TCTTCGCCCCCATGCCTGGATTCTGTTTTCTAGTTCTTCGATCGTCGAATCGATCATCCAGCCTCGTTTGTCGATCTCGATCATCCCGTTTCGATCATCGATCCCGGTCATCCAGCTTCGATCATCGATCTTGATCATCCAGTTTCGATCATCGATCTTGATCATCCAGTTTCGATCATCGATCTTGATCATCCAGTTTCGACCATCGATCTTGATCATCCAGTTTCGACCATCGATCTTGATCATCCAGTTTCGATCATCGATCTTGATCATCCGGTTTCGGTCATCGATCTTGATCATCCGGTTTCGATCATCGATCTCGATCCATCCATCTGGGTACGTAAGGCCATCCATCACTTGGGCTTCCCTTCTAACTTTCGATGTTTCCTTTTCTTGTCCCGGTCGTTGCCAGGTGTATTCACACATCATACAAATACCCATCCACCAAGTGTGTGGCCGCCCCACACACTATCTCCGCCCGTCGGTGTCTTACTCAACGTTCACCCCTTCCTCGTGTGGTGTCCCCGCCCATATCGGGTGCGTCTCCCTGACCGTACGTCCGCGATCCATTCCACCTCGAATTCGTCTTCGTCCAACGGAGTGTCCCAGCTATCGTCAGGTAGCAGTTCTTCGTCGAAGTGTACCCGATCGTCGTCTCCGGTGTTCAACACAAACCTTTGGCCGATCGGGGAACGTTCGCACTGGCTTCAGCTTCGACAGATGTACTATCGGGAAGATTCGATACCCTGATCCTGCAGTCTCGAGACGAGCTGCGTGATTGCCGATCAGCTCGGTGACGCGGAACGGTCCATGCCACATGTGCGAGCTTGCGGGTGTAGCCTTCCTTTACGCGATACAGGTACAGCCATACCTGTGTGCCTTCCTCAATCCGGTGTGGTCTGACGTTATCGTTGTGCTGGTCAGCTCTAGACTTAACCGCTTCCCTGGCTCTGCGGTATTGACCCTGTATGTGGTACCTCCATCTCCGTGCATCGCAATCGCGGCGGCGTGTCGATCCCACCGAAACAACTGCTTCAAGTGTCGACCGCGGGTCCCATCCATGGACTAAGAAGAACGACGTTTCTCCCCTCACTCGATCATGTGCCGTATTCAACGCAAATGTCAGCCGCTCTGCATAGTCATCCCAGTCTTTTTGGTTGACGTCTGCGACGTACATCTTCGGATCTCGTGTCAGAGTTTGATCATGTGCCGTATTCAACGCAAATGTCATTCGCTCGGCATTGCCGTTCCCTTGTGGACGGTAAGCCATCGTCGCGCTCTGTCTCAGTTTTACGATCCGGTTGAAGGCACGGAAGAAGTCCGACATAAAGCCAGGCTCCCGGTCATGTCTGATGACTTCGCTTGCGCCGAAACGACGGAAGACGCATTCCTCGCCTGCGCCTCTCTCGACGGACCAGCCTTGGCTATTACGTAACCGGTGAACAAGTCGGCCCAAATCAGCAGTTCGGTGTTTCCTTTAAACGACTTTGGCAACGATGGAATATGGTCCGTGGAGATCACCTGGAATGGATAAGTACCCTGGATGTTTCCTGGTGATTAGTGATTCTCCTTGACCGGTTGGCTTTCCCTTCCCGGTTTCGCAATCGGTGCATTCTCCCACATAACGTTGTACACTGCGATACAGCCCACGCCAGTGAAAGTTCGCTTGGATCCTCCGGTACGTCCTTCCGACGCTATGATGGCCTCCTTCAAGACTGGCACGATAATGGTGAAGGAAGTCTCGCTGCAAGCTGTCGGGTATCACCATCCTGACGACACCGTCGCGGTCTTCGCCTCGTTGCAGCGTTTTGGGGCAAAAGAAGAGTAGCCCGTTGTCGTCCACTTCGTAATACGCGGCCATCTTCGAGCATATTTTCGCCTCTTCTGCCGTCAAGACATTCACTTGCCCGTCCAGGTACTTCTTCAGATCAGCAATCCACTTCTCTTCATCCTGAGCTTGCCTAATCCTCTGACACCGTATGCGCTGTATGATAGCTTCGTCCATCGCTTTCGGAGTGCGTCGTTGTCTCTCAGCAGCTCGCGTGATCGCGTTTACGCTGACGACTGTCTCGATCAACTTTGGCTTCAGCATTTCGCCCAGTCGGTTCAGGGTGATCAAGTCCTGGCGATCGTCCGCTGAGGTGACTATTTCGCCTTCTTCTCGTTGCAGCGCTGCACTAGCCAACTGGTCCGCACTCTGATTCCATTCGCGCTTCACGTGAAGGAACTCGTGTTTCGGTCACGACCGTAGTCGGTTCAACGCCTTCTGTCGGAGCAGTTGCAGTCC